ACTCACTAATCATCATAACTAATCCAATCAAATAAACAATTAAAAACATAGACAAGAAAAAATTAAAATAGCTGAAATTAAAGAGGGAAGAAATTGTACCAAAACAAATCTGGAATTAATGAAGGAATTAAGTACAAGAGTTGAGAGAGAATTCTAGAGAGAGAAAAATACCAAGTAGAGAGAGAAAATCTAAGAGAAAGAAAGTCCTAAATTAACCGTACAAAACGAATATATATCTCTCCTAAAACACGAATTAAACAAAGCTTAATCAGGTTCTAACAAAACACGCGCCCGATCGGGCGAAGGGGGCGCCCGATCGGGCCCGCCTTTTTTCCTATGCCCATCCTTCAGTGCTGCGCCCGATCGAGCCTACGCTCACCCGATCGGGCGCGCATCTCCTTGGCAGCTGGCATGCGCGCAGCTCGCCCGATCGGGCATAAGCTTGCCCGATCGGGCCCGGCTTCATCTTCAAGGTTTGGACTTCGATTTGGGCTAGATTTCTCGGCCCAATCCATATTTCCTCTCGGGTCTCGAATACGTGGTCCAATTACCTCGTGATCCAAATAACCGAGCCCTTAATCACCGGCTCGATGGCTCTAGCCGACCTTGGGCTCTAAAAATGGTCGTGTTCCTCCAATGCTCGTAGTCGCTTCATAAAAATCCCGGGAAAATGCTCCAAAGGTGAAATTCCCTGCAAAACTTAACCAAAACTACGAAAACACTAGAAAACACATATTAGTAATAAAAGTGGCCCTAAAGGGCCAAAAACACTACTAATTATGACCAAGGGACGGGGGTAAAATACTATATAAAATAGACATATCACCCGAATTAAACTCGACCTATTGTTCACCCGACCCGAATGTAACCTGACCTGTTATTAACCCGACCTAAACCCGACCCAAACCTGATAAGAAGTATGGCCCAACATGACCCGACTCAAGCATGACCCAACCCAAACCCGACCCGCATAGGTTATGGAATTAATCTAAATTGACCCGACCTACTCTTACCCGACCCGTTTACTCGAATTTACAGCCCTACTTTTATATTATGTGTTGAATATGAGAAACATATTGGAGGTTTCCAATTAATGTGATACTACTTTTAATAGGTTTTCTCATAATTTTAACTCATTATATTTATATGCTCCGATTTAAATCTTATTTCTCAAAGGAGTGTGTATCAACTCTCAAGTGCACATACAATTGAATTGCACCATAGTATTATGTGCACCATGGTGCACCTAGAAATAGTTGCACCACGACTATACTTGTGAACATTTAGTGAAAAAAAGTGAACATTTTACAAAAAATGAACATGTAGTAAAAAGAATATGAACACGTCACAAAAATTGAACATAAACATGCAATTTTTATGTTCATATTTTATCAAGAAATGTTCATTTTGTATACATTAAATGTTCAGTTTATATTACAAAACTATTGAATTATTACGAGTCAGTTCAAAATTTGTTTGACTCGTAATAATTCAAAATTTGCGATAGTTCAGATTTTTTTTTACTAAATGTTCAAAAAAATTTATTGTTAATATTTTTATTACTAAAAATTCAAAATTATAGATGTGGTGCATTGCGATTGTTCAGATTTTTTTACTAAATGTTCAAAATTGTGATGTTCAAATTTTTTAACTAAATGTTCAAAATTCTTGATTGTTCAGATTTCTTTTACTAAATGTTCAAAAGTATAGGCATGATGCATTGCAATTGTTCAGCTTTTTTAACTAAATGTTCAAAATTTGCGATGTTCAGATGTTTTTACTACATGTTCAAAATTTGCAATTGTTTAGATTTTTTTTTACCGATTGTTCAAAAGTATAGGCGTGGTGCACCTAGAAATAGGTGCACCATGGTGCATCTTAAAATTTGCCATACTTAATTTCAGTTCAGTTCAGCTCTTAATTTCCCTCTGTCATAAAATATTCATTTCAGCTCAGTTCAGCTCTAATCAGTTTAGTTCAGTAAATGTGAACAAGCCCTAATTTAGAAGTTCAGTGCATTTTTTTTTTAACAACCTAAAAAATTTTAAATTAATCAACTTGAGTTTAATTAGCAAGTCAATTTGAGAAATTGAATTGACCAACTTAGGCCCTTAAGGGCTTAAGGCTATTTGGTGTAGTTTACATAATACGGGCCTGAACTCTTTTAAATGAAGGCCCAATCACTCATATCACCAAAATAAACGCTATAAAAACCCCATTTTTTACATTAAGTGAGCCGAGAAGCTATTCAAGGTTTTTAGGGTTTCTCATTCAGTCGCATAAATCGTAAGCCCCTCTTCTCTTCCTTCTTTGATTCGTCTTCCATTTTTGTTTGATTTGAGAAATGAAGCTAAACCCGTTTTGATTCGCATTTCATTTTACTCAATCGATCTGTCTTTATGTTGTTTTAGCTCTGTACCATATGATTGAACTCTGTAATGCTAGTTTAGGGTTTAAGGAGCTCGAATTAGGGTTGTTTAATTTTCGTCAATGGGGATATTGCAATTTTTTTCTAGGTTTTTACAATAAACCCATTAATTCGTACTAAAAATCCCAAATGTTGGTTGCTTGAAATTGATTAAAATTGATCTTAGGGTTTTGTAATCATGAACTTTATGCTGGGTATGTTTCATCATGCTCTTAATTTTGTATATTTAAATTATTCCCAGAAAAAGGCTAATTGTTGAATGCATTGATTTTGAAAGTTCCCTTTTTTTTTTATTTTTTTATTTTTTTTATTACACTATTAGTTGCTCATACTAAGTTTAAGGTATAGTACCTAGAATTTAATTGTTACTTGTTTGGTTAATTTGAAAGCAGAAGATGGCTCCAAAACAGCCAAGTACTGGTCTTTTCGTGGGTTTGAACAAGGGTCACATTGTAACCAAGAAGGAGTTGGCACCTCGACCCTCCGACCGCACAGGGGTAAATTGTTTATTCTTACTATTTTCTGATGATTCGAGTCTGATTACTTACCCCAGGATCATATTTCTGTTAAAATGAATATGAAGTTCTCTGAGTTGTTTATGGCAATGTTAATGAAATATGTGAATGTGTATCGTTTACTTTGAACGTATGAAAGGATGTTACACTTTGTTTGAATTCTATGGCTTAGGCGCTTAGTTATTCACACAACTTACCATGTGTTTGAATTCCGTATCGTTTGATTTGAACGTATGAAAGGATATGCACACCATTGATTGATTTAAGCTGCATGAAATGAGTAGTTGCTGATAAATGCTATCTATTGAAGTTTCATTTGTGCTTTTGATGGATTTATTTTGGAATGCTGGACTCATTTGCTGATTGCATATGATATCATTGCAAAAAGTAATATACTATATGGCTTAAATATGTGTTAATTTTCTATGTTGTTTATAACTTAAGATGGTTTAGGTGATAAAACTTTTGTGTGTGAAAGGAAGTGGATTTTGTTGATCTCCATGTTAAGTTCAAATTTAATAATAAAAGTTCATGTTTATTTGATGATAATAGTTCCTGTTTGTTTGAATGAATAGTAGTGTATGAGTTGATAGTGTTGAGTCTCTTGACACCATGAAACAATGTTTACTCATATGTGGAAATTTATCGTTCTTTTGCTTCTGAGACAAGTGGACCTGTATTGTTATGTGATGGTGTGCATTGATCTCTTTTTCTTTTCTTTTTTATTTATTTTTTATTTATTATTATCCATATTCATTGGAACATTGGACTGATTAAAATCAATTCAAAATGAGATGTATGTATTGTACCTTGGATATCGTATTGCATTCTGATGCTGACAATGTAGGCTGTTCATTATGTTGAAAAGTAGATTTTTCTGTGTTATTAGTGATTAATGAATGCAATTGTGTTTTTTTATTGTTAAAAGTCTAAACATTGAAAGTATTAATAAGTGGAAGTAAGTGGTTTTGATTCTGCATACCATTTATATTTTGTTTATGACAATTGACAGAAAACCAGCAAGAGGGTTCTCTTTGTGAGGAGTATTATTAGGGAAGTTGCTGGATTTGCTCCCTATGAAAAGAGAATCACTGAGCTCTTGAAGGTTGGGAAAGACAAGCGTGCTTTGAAATTGGCTAAGAGAAAGTTGGGTACCCACAAGAGGGCAAAGAGGAAGCGTGAGGAGATGTCCAATGTGCTGAGGAAGATGAGGTTTGTTATCTGTTTATCTTTTTATCTCTGAATTTTGTAGGCTATGATCTTTAGTTGATTTCTAGTTTCACTTTTCATGTTTCTAACTGGTGGACTGCTTTTGGACAGATCTGCTGGAGGAACAGAGAAGAAGAAGTGATGCTCGGACGTTCTGTGATCCATATCTTGTAGGAACTCTTAAGATGTTTTGATTACTTAAAAGTTGAAGTAACTTCTGTTTAAAATGTTTTACTTGCATCCAATTTTGCTTGGCAATGCTGCGTCGCAGTATTGGGAAACTAGTCTAAACTTTTTTCTTATGCTTGTAAGTTGTAATCAGTGAGACAATAACATTGGTCAATGTAGGTTTGATATTAAATTATTACTGTGCCTTATTGTCTCTCATTTTGTATCTTCACTTTATAGCTCTAGTGCTTAACTGCTTGAAATTTAGGTAGCAATATACATCATCCATTTTCATTTAGTAAAACACTTCAATTTTTGTAGGACTCCGCTGAGCAACAAAGAAGTATTTGTGGTATTACATTGTAGGTGATTAATGCATGAGTGCACATACACATCTGGGAAATTAAATTTAGTACGAAGTATAATAATTATATCATTAACATGTAAGACGCTGTAATTAATTCATGAGTAGCGGATGAATTGAAAATAATGTGGATGTCATCAAATACGGATTATATTTCTATAGAAATGTTACTACGTAAACGATACTATAGTATGTTGAAATATCTTACTTTGTGCCTTGTAAAATATGATTGTATCAATATACAGGTTAATATTTGTCTTAAAGGTAAAAAAGTGTCCTAAAATTCCAAATTTAACTATCCGGACACAACTTGTGAATCAATAAAAGTGAGATTTTATTCAGTAAGTCGGAAATTTGTAGAAGTCTCTTATGCTGTTATGCATGGTTCTGCGTCTGATCTAATTTAATGACTTTTTGTAGTTACAAAACTAGATCATACTACGAATAGCTTCTTTTATTCAAATTCAGCACATATGCTGGTATCAGCTATGTTGTTAATCTTGCTATTCGAGTATCCTGATCTCTGTCATTATTACAAATATAGTCTCTTTCATGTACAATTTGGGGTGTACATACGTTAATGTGAAAATTCCGGTGAAATTCCAGTGTAGAAATAATTATATGAGCATTACAAAAAACTCCAAGCTTGCCAAAAATCAGTTGGTCTCTAAGCAAATATAGAGGGGAGACATCAGGTCTTAAACCTTTGTGTTAGTTTCTCAACACCTTCTCTACAGTCTCCAACAACGCGCTTAGCTCCTTCCTTCACAGTTGTACCAAATCCTGCTGCATTTTGTTGCAATTCTTGTACAGATCCACCTACTTTGGCAACAGCAACATCTCTGAATTCTGTCGTTTGCTTGCCTGCCCCGGCAATCCATTTCTTGATGGCTGAGATTAGTGACTGAATCCTTTGGATAATGCTGTTAATAATCTCTTTAGATTTTCCACCAACTTCACCTGCCATTACCTTGAGTTTGTCTAATAAATTATCAGCCCTCTCGGTGGTTTCCTCTACTGATAGCTTTTTCCCCACATTGGTCCATGTAATATCAGCTGAGGCCTCCTCACGAAGATCCTCATCAACCATAATTTTGAGGCCTTTTCTCTCCCAGCGGTCTCTAGCCTCCTCCAGTGCTCTAGCATGTTCTTGCACTCTTCTAGCTTCATCCTCTGCCCAAGTCCTGAAATGAAAATAGAATGTCATTAGCCAGAGATGTAGAAAACGTGTTTATGGGAAATTTAACCAAATAGCTAAAGGATTTCTTATATTTTAGTTTTATTGTTTTGTTTTGTTTTTTGTTTTTTGTTTTTTTTTTTTGGGGTGGGGGGTGGTGATGGAAAGGGGCAACAAAGACGGTTAGATAATGAAGATGACAGCATCAACAGCAGCAATTCAAGCAAAACATACTTACCGGGCCATGGAAAGTGCCTTTCGCTCGACTTCCAGCTCATATTGCAATCGAACAATTGCTTGGTTTTCATCTTCAGTCTCTTTCTTGAGTTTTTCAATCCGTTCCTTCTCAAAAGATATCTCAACCTTGTTACTCATGACACTTTGCAATTGCTCCTCTAGCTCATGTCTCAATTTTGAAAGAACTTCCATCTCTGAATCCACAGTAGCCCGTTCCTTCATTAGGGCAATATTTTTTTCTTCTCTCTCTTCTCTTAGCCTTTCCACTTCTTGCATTGCTTCTTCAGCCATTTTCTGCACAGCATCTATTTTTTCTTTTTCCATCAGAAGCTCCATCTCAAAATTCGCATTTATATCCTTTTCCACTTCTGCCATCAATGCATTATGGGTAGCAACTGCTTTGTCAGCAATAGATTCTGCTTCAATACGAGCGAGCTCTTCACTGACTAAATCAGCCGCCTCTCCATTTGCAAGAGCAATTGCAGCTTGGCCTTTTGTGACTGGCTTATCTGGCTGGAAAAGTCTCGTGTAGCCTGCAATTTAACGTCAGTGGTCCATAAAACACCAAGCAAAGGGAACACTGGGAGAAACATAAACAACTACGCTATTAATACAGGAATTGGACCGACCAAATGCAAGTGCCACAATCCCCTGCTCTGATGCAGATAAGTCAGCCACAAGTGCAGGACATGCATCTGGGTCAATTCTGTCAATGTCTATGAAACCAGAAAGTTGGTGCAGGTCCTATTGAAAAATGCACAAGGCATTAGTTGTTTCGTTAGAATTAATATTTTGCAAATGATTAGATACACGGAGTACATAGTTATCTTAAATCCTAACCTTTCTATCAGCTTCTGGTAGCTGCCTCTTTTCCAAGGCCATCTTCCAAGTCACAAGATCCTGACGAGATAAAGGGCTGTAGAAAGAAATCGAGAAACACGCCATTTAAGTCATTTGAAGTATACTATTCTTTGACATCATGCACATTAAGTTCAAAGCAACTATGGCCAAACAGAACAGAGGTAGAATGTCCACATGATACACCACTACTACCCAGCATAATATCCCATTCTAACCTGTCAGCACAAGTAAAATATACTTAAAAGCTGTCAAACATTCTAAGGAATTAAAAGTGCCAAAAAGTTGGCCTAGTGAATTAGAGAAAGATATACATTAGTCCTTAAATTGCCGTACCCCTTTGCACAGAATGTTAACATCATTCTAGATACCACACACAGCTCTAAAAGCTTAATAAGTACATCAATAGTAAAGTCACAAACACAGATTTCTGTCAAGGTATCTATTCTCACCAAGTTCTAGATGTGTCCACTCTTGCCTAATCACTGCCCTCAAATGCTTTGTAGGTCCACCTCTACCACTATAGGCTCTATTAATAGCAAAGGTTCAAGGACTTAATCAATCATGTATTAACAATGAGCAAACCACATTTGACTCTCAAAAGCTTGCCTATTAGTAGAAAATGGAAGATTCACCTATCAGGATGGAAGTAGAAGGAACCTATATCTTCATCAGGAGAAGAAAGCATATCATGTCTAGAAAGCTTGCTCGATATAAGTCCAGCTTCTGCCAAACCTGGAACACAGGATTTATTAGTAATCTCTAATATGGCACATTAACCCAATAGCTCAAATCTTTTACTGACAAAACAGTATTATACCTTGGATAAATGAGAAGTCGGGATCTTCAGGTGTGATGTCATCAAATGCAAGCTCGGTAACATTTTCTATATACATAGCTGGATAGACCTTCAAGATCAAGTTTCTGAAAATGGAAAACCAAAACTCAATTACCACACATAAGCACATTAGTGTAAAACAAAGTAATGGATTTATTTACCCACACATACCGTGAAAGAGCACTACTTGCAGAAACTAACCAACGGGCATACTCACGACGAGTGCATAGATCACCAGATTGAGCATCACTCTCAATCACCTGAGATTAACGAAGGAATATATCAAGAGACAGAAAACTTCAGCACATGATAGAGGTTAGTACAACCAACAGATAATAACAAACGAAAAAACAGAAAAGAAAGAAGAAAGCATTATGTTAAACAATATTTCATAGGTAGGAGTAAACAAAAATTAAATTTAAAAACCTTCTTAAAATATAAGGCTTCATAAATGAGAGTCTTCCCCGCAAGAGCATCAATGTCACAAAAATGTACACTGTTCAAGTGTTGAAGACTTTGATCTAGAGCTGTCAAAAGTTGACCCGACCCGAAATACCGACTCAAACCCGATTATTAACCGAACAATCTTAACCCGAAAAAATGGTGACCCAAACCCGACCTGAAACCAACCCTAGACCCGAGTATGTGAGACCCAGACCCAAACATGACTGACCAAGAGATGACCCGACCGGAATGTAACCCTTAAATTATTGACCTGAACCAAACCCGATTGAAACATAAATTGACCCAAACCCGTTTTAACCCTTCAAAACCCGAATTTAACCCGACTGGTTACTAACCTGACCTGAATTTAACCCGACTCGTTCCTAACCCGACCCGAATTTAACCCAACCTGTTACAAACCCGACCTGAAATCAACCCAACTTGTTATTAACCTGACCCAAATTCAGCCCGACTTGTTATTGACCCGACCCGAATTTTACCAGACCTATTACTAACCCGACCAAAAAATATAGCCCCATCTGTTACTAACCCGACTTGTTATTGACTCGTCCTAAATTCAACCAAAATTGTTCCTAACTCGATTTCAAATCAGCTTAAATGCAATTTAGACCACCTAATTATTGTTGATCAAAGCATTTTGTCTAGGGAGACCAAGTCGGTCTACGCCAGCAAAAGGAGTAAATCCTCAAATTTAAGAGTTAAATATAGTTTATATTTGTTGTATGGTCAAAGGAGATAATTATCTTCCTAAATTATAGACTATAGTACCTTAATATATTACCATATATATTATAGTCAAAGGAAATAATTAGCTTGATAAAAATGATAATTATCTATTTAGAATTAGTTAAACCCGAACATGACCTGACTTGGAAATGACCCGACCTGATTGTAACCTGCAAATTATTGGCTTGAACATAACCCAACTTGATTCCGAGAATGACCCGACTTGGAAATGACTTACCTGATTATAACTCGCAAATTATTGACTTGAACCGAACCCGACTTGAACTTGACTTGAACCCAAGAATGACCCGAATTGATTATAACCTGCAAATTATTGACTTGAATCGGACCCGACTCAAACGCAAAAATGACCCCACCTGATTCAAACCCGCAAATTATTGAATTGAACGGAACCCGACTCGAAACCGAGAATTAGCCTAACCCGTTTTAACCCGTGAAAACTCGAATTAAACCCGACCTATTGTTCACACAACCCAAACGTAATTCAACCTATTATTAACCCAACCAAAACCCGATAAAAAGTATGACCCAACGTGACCGACTCAAACTTGCCCCAACCCAAACCCGACCAGCATTGATTACGGAATAAATCCGAATTAACCTGACCCACTCTCGGAGGCTTACTGACCCAAACCCGACCTGTTTACCCGAATTGAAAGCCTTTATTTTTTTGACAATTTTTCATCCGGAAATAAAAATTGCCGAAATGTTTACCATGACCCAAAATACCCTCCAGGAGTCCACCTAGGTGCAACCATCCAATTTGCCTTTATACTACCAATTTACTAGTTTACAACTTGCATCGATTTCATTAACTCAAACCAACCATGAACATTTATGACAACAAATAATGATCACATATGGTTCCAAACGACACTATATGACCCCGAAATGTATTCCGTAAAATTACAAGACTTGTCAAAACCGGGGCCCTTAAAAAGCAAGGATATTAGCCTTTAATTTTTGAATTTTTTAACTTTTCTTTCGCCTGGAAATAAAAATTGCCGAAATGTTTACCATGGTCACTAATACCCTCTGGGAGTCAAATTCGGTGTGTGGAACCATCCAATTTGCTTTTAAACGGCCAATTTACCGCTTTAAAACTTGCACCGATTTCTTTAACTCAAGCCTACCACGAACATTTGTAACAACATATAATGATCATATATGGTTCTAAACAACATTATATGACGTCGAGATGTATCCCCAAAAATATCAATGCTTTTCGCCATTCGAAATTTCTCAAAAAGCGTGGATATTAACCTTTAATTTAGGAATTTTTTAACTTTTTTTTGCCCGGATAAAAAAATTGCCGAAATATTTATCATGGTCCCTAATACCCTCTGGGAAACCAATTGGGTGGGAAGAACCATACAATTTGCCTTTAAACGACCAATTTAATTACCGGTTTACAACTTGCATGGATTTCATTAACTCAATTCTACTAAGAACATTTATGACAACAAATAACTATAATATATGGTTCCAAACGACATTATATGACCCCGAAATGTATTACCTAGAAGTTCAAGACTTTTCGACAACGGGCCCGAATAGTCCAAAAATTCTTAAAAAGCGTGGATATAGTCTTTAATTTTTGAATTTTTTTACTCCTTTTCGCCCGGAAATAAAAATTGTTGAAATGTTTACCATGGTCTCTAATACCCTCTGGTAGTCCAATTTGCCAATTGGGTTGAACCATCCAATTTGCCTTTAAACGGCCAATTTACCGATTTATAACTAGCGCCGATTACATTAACTCAAGCCTACCACAAACATTTATGACAACAAATAATGATCATATATAGTTCCAAAAAGCATGATATGAACCCGAGATGTATCCCTTAAAATCTGAAGGTTTTTCGACCTAGGGCTCTGAAACCTATAAAATTTCTCAAAAAAACAAGGATATAAGTTTTCAATTTTGGAATTTTTTACTTTGTTTCGCTCGGTAATAAAAATTGCCGAAATGTTTACCACGATCCCTAATACCCTCCGAGAGTCTAATTGGGTGGGTGAAACCGTCCTATTTGCCTTTAAACGGCCGATTTATCGGATTATAACCTGCACCGATTTAATAAACTCAAGCCTATTACGAACATTTACGAGAACATATAATGATCATATATGGTTCTAAAAGACATTATATGACCAAGAGATGTATCCCCTAAAATCTCACGGCTTTTCGACAATGGGCCCCGAAACCTCCAAAATTTCATAAAAATCATGAATATAAGCCTTCAAATTTGAAATTTTTTGACTTTTTTTTTACCCGGAAATAAAAAATGGCAAAAATGTTTAACATGTTTCCTAATACCTTCCTGAAGTCCAATTAAGTGGGTAGAACCATCCAATTTGCCTTTAAATGACCAATTTACCGGTTTACAACTTCCACTGTTTTCATTAACTCAAGCCTACCACGAACATTTATGACAACAAATAATGACCATATATGGTTCCAAACGACATTACATGACCCCGAGATATATCCCCTATAATTTCAATAATTTTCGACACCAGCCTGAAACCTCCAAAATTACTAAAAAAAAGTGGATATTAGCCTTCAATTTTGGATTTTTTTTACTTTATTTCGCCCGAAATAAAAGTTGTCGAAATGTTTACCATGGTCCCTAATACCCATTGAGAGTCCAATTGGGTGAGTGGAACCATTCAATTTCTCTTTGAACAACCAATTTACCGATTTGCAACTTGCATCGATTTCACTAATTCAAGACTATCACGAAAATTTATGACAACATCTAATGATCATATATGGTTCCAAACGACTTTATATGACCCCGAGATGTATGACCTAAAATCTCAAACATTTTCGACACCAGGGTCCGAAACCTCAAAAATTTCTCAAAAAGCGTGGATAATTAGCCTTCAATTTTGGAATTTTTAGCCTTTTTTTTTTCGCCTGAAAATAAAAATTGCCGAAATGTTTACCATGGTCACTATTACCCCCTGGATGTCCGATTGGGTTGTTGGAACCATCCAATTTGCCTTTAAACGGTCAATTTAACGGTTTACAGCTTGCATTGATTTCATTAACTCAAACCTACCACGAACATTTATGACAACATATAATATCATTAATAGTTCCAAAAGACATTATATGAACCCCGAGATGTATCCCCTAAAATCTCATTTCTTTTTTGACACCGAGCCCCGAAACTTTCGAAATTTCTCAAAAAAACATGAATAATTATCCTTCATTTTTGGATTTTTTTTTTACTTTTTTTGTACGGAAATAAAAATTGCCGAAATGTTTACCATGTTCTCTAATACCCCCACGGAGTCCCATTGGGTGGGAAAAACTATCCAATTTGCCTTTAAACGACCAATTTATCGTTTACAACTTGCACCGATTTCATTAACTTAAGCATAGTACGAACATTTATAACAACAAATAATTATCATATATGGTTTCAAACGACATTATATAACCCCGAGATGTATTCCCTAGAATTTAAAGACCTGTAAACACCGGTCCCCAAAGACTCCCCCGTGGATATTAGACTTCAATTTTTGAATTTTTTTCGCCAGATACAAAAATTGTCGAAATGTTTACTATGGTCTCTAATACCCACCGGGAGTCCAATTGGATAGGTGGAACCATCCAAGTTGCCTTTAAACGGCCAATTTATCAATTTACAACTCTCACTGATTTCTTTAATTCTAGCCTACCACGAACATTTATGAAAACATATAATGATAATATATGATTCCTAACGACATTATATGACTGATTTATCCCCAAAAATTTCAAGACTTTTCGACAACGGGCCCTGAAACCTCTAAAATTTCTCAAAAATCATGGATATAGCCTTTAATTTTGGAATTTTTTGACTTTTTTTTTGCCCGTAAATATAAATTGCCGAAATGTTTACTATGATACCTAATACCCTCCGGGAGTCCCATTGGAGGGTGGAACCATCCAATTTGTCTTGAAACGACCAATATACCAGTTTACAACTTGCACCGATTTCATTAACTCAAGCCTACCACGAACATTTATGACAACAAATAATGATCATACATGGTT